GGGGGCAGTGTTTGTATATACACTACGGACTGTGGTCAGTGTACTGGACGGTATTGTGTGACATTATCATGACCATGCACCGCTACACTATACCATACCAGTAACTTTACGCAAGGGTACGTAGAGTACATGTTGATTACAGATCGGTACCTCCATCCCCAAATATCTAGCATCCTGTTTCTATGTATATCTGTATAACAGTGTAATAAGACCTAGAGAGGTGAGGGGGTCAGTGTTTGTATACACTACGGACTGAGGTCAGTGTACTGGACGGTAATGTGTTACACTAACTTGACCATGCACCATTACACTAAACATACCAGTAAACTCACAGTAATATAATGGTACACTTTACGGAAGGGTAGAGTATACAGCCACAGGTACACAGTGCACCTGTTGATTATTTAGCATCCTGGTTCTGTTTGTATCTGTATATAAGACCTAGATTGTAGCCAGGTGAAATAGCCGCTGACATTCGATGGAAACTGTCACCAACTTCATGTGTTAATAATTGAGTCGGAGAGAATTAAATCTGGTGGTATAAACGGAATATACTCAGACATATATGTCAAAATGTTTCTCGCCTGGCCTGGTGGAAATCACAGGGACCTGTTGATGAGAGTTTATTAAAGCTATATTTCACTCCAAGGTTAATATAATACGAGAAGGAGGGGGGGAGCTCTTGATATCGAAAAATCGACCCCATCTAACTTTCTTGCATCAAAAACCACATTTCTAGTTGATGTACGAAAAGAATGCTTACCATTGGAAAGATGAACTGGATTTGTGTATTTGAAGTTGACTGGCCCCTCTGTGCTACAGTTGTATCCAAAACGAATTAAAGGGGAGGTCACATTAATACAGTATATACAACATACCCAGAGTGTAGGTGGACAGGGATCCCTATGCAGGTATATCATAATATATAATGTCTCTGCTATTAATTATATAAATCTGCCCCCCCCCCTCGGTGACATCCTCAATTCTCCAGGGGTTAAATGTAATGACTGTCTTTTTCTGCACGTGCACCCCTAGAATATGTCATAGCAAAAATAGGCATTCAGCTAGCGATTTGATTGGTCAGATGAAAACCCTGGCCAATCGCTAGACTGAAACCTGTCCTTTGAAGATTACAGAGTTTTCTCACTCTTCTGTCAGACTGATCACAGAGGTGCTTAATGGGATTGGCATTTGTGGAAAGTGGTGTTCAACCAAGCACATTGTTGTTCTGTTGACGAAGAATGTCCATGTTAACGGGTGCAACAGGAGTACATGTGTTATCTTACTGAAACGTGCCCCGATTTGTCACCAGGAATGGAACAATATGTGGTACCAAGATCTGCTCCCTGTTACGTTGAGCTTTCTGGCTAACGCCGACAATCACAAGGTCTGAACGAGCATTGCCCATATCCCACAACATGAAGCTTCCATCACCAAAAATGATCATGACGTAACAAGCAGGCCTCCTGTTAGATGTTAACCACTGGCGTTCAGCTATCTGAGCAATAGTTTTTGGGACTCATCCATGAATAGAACTTGTTGCCACTGTTGTAGAGACCAACGTAAATGTTGTCGTGCCCATGCCGAGTATCTTTGGATATGGCGTTAGGTCAGTCGAGGTTCACAATTCGGTTAGTGAGGACGTAGCCCTACCTCGGCCAACTGGCGAATTATGGTTTGTGCACTAATGTGACAGCGATTGGGGATGTTGGAAGCCGTACTTGCTGCTATTACCATCTGATTACGCAGATGACATAAGCAGATATGCCTGTCCAGAGTTTTTGCCAGGTGTTTATAGGGTCTGGTACGTACAGGACCCATTCCCGAATGAAAAATGACCCTGCATTTTTCTAATTTCAGTATTTATTTTCACAATTGGATTAAAAAGCATGTTAACCAAGTTTCCAGTCATTATATGTGCAACGTTCATGTGCAATGTATTACCGTCCATGATGGAGTATTCTTATTACATAAATAACAAAAAAAATAAACTGAATTATCAAAAACAAAGTTAATTACATTTACGTTTTCATTGTATCACTTTATACATGGATTTTATTTCAGGACCTACGTGAGATAGCAGCACAACACAAGGAGAATAACACATTCTCCTCAACAGCTGGGAGGGAGCCGCACAACCTGAGGAAAAACCGATACAAGGACATCATTGCCTGTAAGTGTGTAGGCATTCCACAGAGTACAGTTTACTGGGACAAACCTTTACCCTTGCCAATATAATCAATATTTGCTCAGTGTCGATTTCACCCCTCACATTTAAACACTGTGTATAATGTTGTTTTCTTCTGTTCGCTGTAATGATATTTCACCCCCCATTAATAAGGCATTATGGAGGGCAAAAAAACGTGAATATTAAACTGCAGCGTTGATTTCCAGGCATACACTTAGCTGTTGCCTAAACCAACTACAATGTAAATCTGTCTCGTAAACCGTAGCTATACTGTCCACATACAACTGTACTGTAACGTCTTATTGCCTCCTCAAATAACTACACACTGTTTCACTATCTTAGACATTTATTTATTCTATTGACAGATGACTACTCCCGAGTTAAGCTGCAGGACACTGGTGAGGAGGGATCAGATTACATCAACGCCAACCTCATTCAGGTACGTTCTTAGGGACCCTTCCATCACACTAGTAAAAATTATATCTGTAAAACGGTTACACTGCAGATATTAAGCACTTTGTTTTCAAGGCCGTCAAATTCATGTTAGCTCCATTTAATGATGCATTCCTTTGAGGTTCTTGCTTGTTGAAAAGTTCATTTAATTTCTGTTCAAATGGAGCTAAGCTAGATTAAGGAATATCCTTGAGCAATCTCATCCCCAAGTGGAGCTATGTTGAGTCCAAACTCGATTTTCGAAGCAATTAAAATTTTGAGACTCACAAATCCTTGGACGAGAGATAAATTAGGGCTTGTAGAATTTAAAAAAAAAGCAAGACATGTACCTGATTCACTTAGTAGTATAGTGAAAGAATTCTGGATACTATAAAAGATGATGTAGGTTTTAATGAAAAATGTTAACATGTTTTTAGCCAACCATCATCAGATGGTGGGCTATTCAAATCACCCAGCATCCGCTGTCCGTGTGTGTCCGTCATTCCTTCCTTAAACAGTTCTTGTTAACGCTATTTCTCAGAAAGTACTGGAGGGATCCTTCTCAAATTTCATATGAAAGTTCCCCACGGTCCCTAGTTATGCATATCGTTTTTTGGGACTAACAGCAAAACCAAGATGGCCGACAGTCAGTCATCTTTGTTTTGAGAGTTTAAGTTTGTTAGTGCTATTTCTCAAAAAGTGCTGGAGTGATCCTTCTCAAATTTCACATGTAAGTTCCCCATGGTCCCTAGTTATGCATATCGTTTTTTGGGACTGATAACAAAACCAAGATGGTGGATAGCCAGCCATCTTTAATTTGAGAATGAAAGTTTGTTAGCGCTATTTCTCAGAAAGAACGGGAGGGATCCTTCTCAGATTTCACATGAAGGTTCCCTATGGTCCTTAGTTATGCATATCTTTTTTTGGGACTAACAACAAACCAAGATGGCCGACAGCTAGCAATCTTTAATTTGAGAGTTGAAGTTTGTTAGCGCTATTTCTCAGAAAGTACTGGAGGGATCCTTTTCAAATTTCACATGAGGTTCCCCATGGTCCCTAGTTATGCATTTCAAATTTTGGTTATGATTGGTTGTGCATGTTAGCTTTTGGGGTTGATCAAAAGACTGATTAGGATGGCGGACAGGAAACTGAGCGAACAAATCAGAGAAAAGACGAAAAAAGATAAAATTAACATAGAAATATAAAGAGAAAAAAGGGGAAAAGATCAAATTGACATAGAACTAATGAAGATGTTATGATGGTGGGTGCCAAGTTCCCTCTGAGGTATCTTGTTTACATTTGAGTATGGGACATTATGTTACTTCTCAAGTGGACTTTCACAGATCAAACTTCCTGGTGCACTTGGTGAATGTTTAACATTGTGGAGAACCAGAATGATGTCAATGATCATATATATGTGTATATATACAAATATACCAAGGGCTTCCTTGTGATTATCCTTGACATGTCAGTATTGGGGATCAGTATCAAATAATGTCTCCCTGTTGTATGTGTAATCTGTACAAATAATGTCTCCCTGTTGTATGTGAAATCTGTACAAATCATGTTTCCCTGTTGTATGTGTAATCTGTTCAAATCATGTCTTCCTGTTGTATGTGTAATCTGTACAAATAAAGTCTCCCTGTTGTATGTGTAATCTGTACAAATCATGTCTCCCTGTTGTATGTGTCATCTGTACAAATCATGTCTCCCTGTTGTATGTGTAATCTGTACAAATAATGTCTCCCTGTTGTATGTGTAATCTGTACAAATCATGTCTTCCTGTTGTATATGTAATCTGTACAAATCATGTTTCCCTGTTGTATGTGTAATCTGTTCAAATCATGTCTTCCTGTTGTATGTGTAATCTGTACAAATGATGTCTTCCTGTTGTATGTGTAATCTGTACAAATCATGCTTCCCTGTTGTATGTGTAATCTGTACAAATCATGTCTCCCTGTTGTATGTGTAATCTGTACAAATCATGTCTCCCTGTTGTATGTGTAATCTGTACAAATCATGTTTCCCTGTTGTATGTGTAATCTGTACAAATTGTGTTTTCCTGTTGTATGTGTAATCTGTACAAATTATGTCTCCCTGTTGTATGTGTAATCTGTACAAATAATGTCTCCCTGTTGTATGTGTAATCTGTACAAATAATGTCTCCCTGTTGTATGGGTAATCTGTACAAATAATGTCTCCCTGTTGTATGTGAAATCTGTACAAATCATGTTTTCCTGTTGTATGTGTAATCTGTACAAATTATGTCTCCCTGTTGTATGTGTAATCTGTACAAATAATGTCTCCCTGTTGTATGTGAAATCTGTACAAATCATGTTTTCCTGTTGTATGTGTAATCTGTACAAATCATGTCTTCCTGTTGTATATGTAATTTGTACAAATCATGTTTCCCTGTTGTATGTGTAATCTGTACAAATTGTGTTTTCCTGTTGTATGTGTAATCTGTACAAATTATGTCTCCCTGTTGTATGTGTAATCTGTACAAATCATGTTTCCCTGTTGTATGTGTAATCTGTACAAATTGTGTTTTCCTGTTGTATGTGTAATCTGTACAAATCATGTCTTCCTGTTGTATGTGTAATCTGTACAAATAATGTCTCCCTGTTGTATGTGTAATCTGTACAAATAATGTCTCCCTGTTGTATGTGTAATCTGTACAAATAATGTCTCCCCGTTGTATGTGTACTCTATACTAATTGTGTCTTTTGGTTTGTATAATCTTAACAATCATGTCTCTCTGTTATATGTTTAAGCTGTACAAAACCATTCTCCTGTTTCTCACGATACAGATGATGGTTTAATGAATGAGTTTACACTTTAGACCAGATCTGTGTTTATTGATAAAAGGAATCTAATTTCTTTTCATCCTAATGCTAGGTTAAAATAAAAACTTCTAGATAATTTTCATTATTTCATCATGTTTAACAGGTGTTATATCTATTTTACAGGACCCCTATGATAAGGACGGCTACATCGCCTCCCAGGGTCCCCTGCCCAACACTGTGAATGATTTCTGGAGAATGATTATGGAGAATAGGGTCAAAGTGGTTATAATGGCCTGTAAACTCATAGAGGGTAACAAGGTGAGTCCACAATAACTTCTTAGTACCTGTTAGCACTAATACTAACAGACCAAGTCATTTGTGAACATTGCAAAAGCCTTATTGTCTTGAAAGATCAATTTATTTTACCTTTTCACCACATTCTTCCATTAAAACATTTATGCGAGAGCACAAAATTTCCTCACTGATCCATTTAAAAACAAATATTTGGCTGACCTTTAATAAGAGGAAAGACAATTTGCTAGTTTTTTTGAGAACACCTATTTTCCTCAGAGGAATTACAATTTAGCTCATTTTTAATAATACGCTTTTGAATTAACTTTCCTGAGAGAGTACACATTTTAATTTAATACATGTACCTGTTGAGAGAAAACACACATTTAATTACCTGACTGAGAGAACATATATTTGATTACCTGACTGAGAAAACACACATTTGATTACCTGACTGAGAGAACACACATTTGATTACCTGACTGAGAGAACACACATTTAATTGCCTGACTGAGATAACACACAATCACCTGACTGTAACAGGGGGTCAAATATGTTAAAAACTTAAAACAACTTGATATTTGGCCAGTAGCATGCTGGGATGAAGGGCAACCAAGTTTGTTCAAATGAATGACCTTCACTTCTATTCAAGGTCATAGGGGTCAATTTTCGTATAAAACCTTTAAAAATCTTCTTCTGAATAACCAAAATGCCTAGGGCGATGCTATTTGGCCAGAAACATACTGTGAAAGGCTACCAAGTTAATTTGAATGAATGATCTTCACATGTACACATATGGTCACAGACAAGGTCACAGGGGTCAAATATGTTGAAATCTTTTAAACGACTTTTTCTTAATAATCAAAAGGCCCAGGGTGATGATATTTTGCAAGAAGCATACTGTCATGAAAGGCTACCAATTTTGCTCAAATGAATGACCGTCACTCATATTCTAGGTCACAGGGGTCAAATATATTGAAATCTTTTAAACGACTTTTTTCTGAATAACCAAAAGGTCCAGGGTGATGATAATTTGGAAGAAGTATACTGGCATGAAAGGCTTCCAAGTTTGTTGCAATGAATGACCTTCTCACATATTCAAAGTCAGAGGGGTCAAATATATTCGAACCTTTAAATGACTTCTGAATAACCAAATTTCAGGGTGATGATATTTGGCCAGCAGTTTCCTGGAATGACAGGCTTTCACGTTTGTTCAAATGAATGATCTTCACCCATTTTCAAAGTCACAGGGGTCAATTGTCTTAAAGCAAACTTTAAATGACATCTGCTAAATAACCATAAGGTCCAAGGTGATATTTTGCCAGTAGCATGCTAGGATGAAGGGCTACCACATTTGTGTAGATGAATGACTATCACCCATGTGGTCAAATATGTTGGAATCTTTTTAACGACTTGATATGTGACCAGAACTTGACTGGTCAATTATATATAAATCTTTAAGTCATCTTCTTAATAAACTAAGGGTATAGGGTGGTGATATTTGGCAAGTTGCATTCTGGGATAAACAGGCTATAAAGTTTGTTCACCATAATGTCCTCGTTTGACTTTCAAGGTCACAGGGGTCAAATGTGTTTAAATCTGGTAACAGGTTCTTTTGAATGACTTTGAGTCAAGACAATGATATTTTGTCTGTAGCTTTCTTTTAAGGTTCAAAATCGTGATACTAATGCCAGGTGAGCATTGCAGGCCCATTGGGCCTCTTGTTTGAATTTATAATATGATTACGATTTTTTGGATGATAATACCTTTTATTTATTAGTTGCAATAGTCCAAAATATTAAGGTGAGCTGTTATTCCACTTTAGTGTCCATCATTTGTCTTTTAAATATCTTTTTGGTAACCTAAGAACCATAGGGTGTAGGGATGTGATAATTTGCCAGTAGCTTGCATGTGTGATATGTAGGGCTGCTATTAATTAAAATACATTACCTATATTTACATTCAAGGTTACATGGTTCAAACATGCTGAAATATTGAAACAAGTTCTAGTGAAGTACACTGTAACAGATATTTGTCGTACTTTTTGAAATTTCCATGGGGGAGATTACATGTACTCAGAATTCAAAACATAAATATATTGTGTGTATGTACACCCTAGGGAAAATTTAACACTTTTAAATGACATCCTGTGAGCTGTTCTTTCTAGATCTTTCAGTTGAAATCATCAGATCTTAGAAAATTCTCTAGTTGAAAACGCTCAATTGAAGGGTTCAAAATTCGGAATCTCCCCCCAAAAAGGGGGAGTTAGCAGGTATGATTTGTGTAAATACATGTTTAAAGAATTGAATCAAATGATTTTTTTTTCCAGAAAAAATGTGCGGTCTATTGGCCTGAGTTGGTTGGAGATGAGGAAGACTATGGAAATGTCACTGTCACAATGGTAAGGCAGGCTGACTATCAATGAACCTTACTGTCAAATTGGTAAGGCAGACTGACTATCAATGAACATAACTGTTAAAATGGTAAGGCAGACTGACTATCAATGAACGTTACTGTCAAAATGGTAAGACAGACTGACTATCAATGAACATAACTGTCAATATGGTAAGGCAGGGTGACTATCAATGAACCTTACTGTCAAATTGGTAAGGCAGACTGACTATCAATGAACATTACTATCAAAATGGTAAGGCAGGCTGACTATCAATGAACGTAACTGTCAAAATGGTAAGGCAGACTGACTATCAATGAAAATTACTGTCAATATGGTAAGGCAGGCTGACTATCAATGAACCTTACTGTCAAATTGGTAAAGCAGGCTGACTATCAATGAACATTACTATCAAAATGGTAAGGCAGGCTGACTATCAATGAACGTAACTGTCAACATGGTAAGGCAGACTGACTATCAATGAACATAACTGTCAATATGGTAAGGCAGTCTGACTATCAATGAACCTTACTGTCAAAATGGGAAGGCAGGCTGACTATCAATGAATGTAACAGTCAAAATGGTAAGGCAGACTGACTATCAATGAATATTACTGTCAAAATGGTAAGGCAGACTGACTATCAAAGAACGTAACTGTCAAAATGGTAAGGCAGGCTGACTATCAAGGAACGTAACTGTCAAAATGGTAAGGCAGACTGACTATCAAAGAACGTAACTGTCAAAATGGTAAGGCAGGCTGACTATCAATGAACATTACTGTTAAAATGGTAAGGCAGACTGACTATCAATGAACATTACTGTCAAAATGGTAAGGCAGGCTGACTATCAAGGAACGTAACTGTCAAAATGGTAAGGCAGACTGACTATCAATGAACATTACTATAAAAATGGTAAGCAGGCTGACTATCAATGAACATTAATATCAAAATGGTAAGGCAGGCTGACTATCAATGAACCTTACTGTCACAATGGTAAGGCAGACTGACTATCAATGAACGTAACTGTCAAAATGGAAAGGCAGACTGACTATCAATGAACATTACTGTCAATATGGTAAGGCAGGCTGACTATCAATGAACGTAACTGTCAAAATGGAAAGGCAGACTGACTATCAATGAACATTACTATAAAAATGGTAAGCAGGCTGACTATCAATGAACATTACTATCCAAATGGTAAGGCAGGCTGACTATCAATGAACCTTACTGTCAAATTGGTAAGGCAGGCTGACTATCAATGAACATAACTGTTAAAATGGTAAGGCATGCTGACTATCAATGAACATAACTGTCAAAATGGTAAGGCAGGCTGACCATCAATGAATGTAACTGTCAAAATGGTAAGGCAGACTGACTATCAAAGAACGTAACTGTCAAAATGGTAAGGCAGGCTGGCTATCACTGAACATTACTGTCAAAATGGTAAGGCAGGCTGACTATCAATGAACATAACTGTTAAAATGGTAAGGCAGACTGACTATCAATGAACCTTACTGTCAAAATGGTAAGGCAGGCTGACTATCAATGAATGTAACTGTCAAAATGGTAAGGCAGACTGACTATCAATGAACATTACTGTCAAAATGGTAAGGCAGACTGACTATCAATGAACATAACTGTCAAAATGGTAAGGCAGGCTGACTATCAAGGAACCTAACTGTCAAAATGGTAAGGCAGGCTGACTATCAATGAATGTAACTGTCAAAATGGTAAGGCAGACTGACTATCAATGAACATTACTGTCAAAATGGTAAGGCAGGCTGACTATCAATGAACCTTACTGTCAAAATGGTAAGACAGGCTGACTATCAATGAACATTACTATCAAAATGGTAAGGCAGACTGACTATCAATGAACATTGCTGTCAAAATGGTAAGGCAGTCTGACTATCAATGAACGTAACTGTCAAAATGGTAAGGCAGGCTGACTATCAAGGAACGTAACTGTCAAAATGGTAAGGCAGACTGACTATCAATGAACATAACTGTCAAAATGGTAAGGCAGGCTGACTATCAATGAACCTTACTGTCAAAATGGTAAGGCAGACTGACTATCAATGACAATTAATGTCAAAATGGTAATGCATGCTGACTATCAATAAACCTTACTGTCAATATGGTAAGGCATGCTGACTATCAATGAACATAACTGTCAAAATGGTAAGGCAGGCTGACTGTAAATAACTGTGAATTTATTGTGAATTAATTTCTTTGTCAAATTTGAAAGCAATCTATTAACTGTCAAAATGGTAAGGCAGGCTGGCTATCACTGAACATTACTGTTAAAATGGTAAGGCAGGCTGACTATCAATGAACGTAACTGTTAAAATGGTAAGGCAGGCTGACTATCAATGAACATAACTGTCAAAATGGTAAGGCAGGCTGACTGTACATCCCTGTGAATTTATTGTGAATTAATTTCTTTGTCAAATTTGAAAGCAATCTATTAACTGTCAAAATGGTAAGGCAGGCTGGCTATCACTGAACATTACTGTTAAAATGGTAAGGCAGGCTGACTATCAATGAACGTAACTATCAAAATGGTAAGGCAGGCTGACTATCAATGAACGTAACTGTCAAAATGGTAAGGCAGGCTGACTGTACATCACTGTGAATTTATTGTGAATTAATTTCTTTGTCAAATTTGAAAGCAATCTATTCAGTAAACATAACTGTCAAAATAATGGTGTGATAAAGTTATTGTGAATAAATTTCTGTGTAAAGATGGCCTGACAAAATTACTATTTACCATAATAAGATGATTGCACTGAAGAGGTATGACTTGTTAGTATTGAACTGCTTTCCAGGAAAAGAAGTTTATAAGTACATTACCTGGTAACCTGCAATCATTTATCAAAACTCAGCATCAAGATCAAGTAAACTTGTGTACCGTGTGTACCGTGTGTACCGGGTGTACCGTGTATGTTTGTTTAATGAATAGAACTGCCACCTTCCAGGACAGGTTGTTTGTACCTGATGTTAAAGTTATGACATTATCATAGTTATTACTTCAACAAAAGGGCAGTGGTGTTCATAGCTGATATGAATGCCACCTGATTGTATGGAGCGGGTATTTGTGTTTTGTAGACAAATGAGAGTGATATGAAGGAAGACTGCACTGTGAGGGTATTTGTGTTTTGTAGACAAACGAGTGATATGAAGGAAGACTGTACTGTGAGGGTATTTGTGTTTTGTAGACAAATGAGAGTGATATGAAGGAAGACTGTACTGTGAGGGTATTTGTGTTTTGTAGACAAACGAGAGTGATATGAAGGAAGACTGTACTATGAGGGTATTTGTGTTTTGTAGACAAACGAGAGTGATATGAAGGAAGACTGTACTATGAGGGTATTTGTGTTTTGTAGACAAACGAGAGTGATATGAAGGAAGACTGTACTATGAGGGTATTTGTGTTTTGTAGACAAACGAGAGTGATATGAAGGAAGACTGTACTATGAGGGTATTTGTGTTTTGTAGACAAACGAGAGTGATATGAAGGAAGACTGTACTATGAGGGTATTTGTGTTTTGTAGACAAACGAGAGTGATATGAAGGAAGACTGTACTATGAGGGTATTTGTGTTTTGTAGACAAACGAGAGTGATATGAAGGAAGACTGTACTATGAGGGTATTTGTGTTTTGTAGACAAACGAGAGTGATATGAAGGAAGACTGTACTATGAGGGTATTTGTGTTTTGTAGACAAACGAGAGTGATATGAAGGAAGACTGTACTATGAGGGTATTTGTGTTTTGTAGACAAACGAGAGTGATATGAAGGAAGACTGTACTATGAGGGTATTTGTGTTTTGTAGACAAACGAGAGTGATATGAAGGAAGACTGTACTATGAGGGTATTTGTGTTTTGTAGACAAACGAGAGTGATATGAAGGAAGACTGTACTATGAGGGTATTTGTGTTTTGTAGACAAACGAGAGTGATATGAAGGAAGACTGTACTATGAGGGTATTTGTGTTTTGTAGACAAACGAGAGTGATATGAAGGAAGACTGTACTATGAGGGTATTTGTGTTTTGTAGACAAACGAGAGTGATATGAAGGAAGACTGTACTATGAGGGTATTTGTGTTTTGTAGACAAACGAGAGTGATATGAAGGAAGACTGTACTATGAGGGTATTTGTGTTTTGTAGACAAACGAGAGTGATATGAAGGAAGACTGTACTATGAGGGTATTTGTGTTTTGTAGACAAACGAGAGTGATATGAAGGAAGACTGTACTATGAGGGTATTTGTGTTTTGTAGACAAACGAGAGTGATATGAAGGAAGACTGTACTATGAGGGTATTTGTGTTTTGTAGACAAACGAGAGTGATATGAAGGAAGACTGTACTATGAGGGTATTTGTGTTTTGTAGACAAACGAGAGTGATATGAAGGAAGACTGTACTATGAGGGTATTTGTGTTTTGTAGACAAACGAGAGTGATATGAAGGAAGACTGTACTATGAGGGTATTTGTGTTTTGTAGACAAACGAGAGTGATATGAAGGAAGACTGTACTATGAGGGTATTTGTGTTTTGTAGACAAACGAGAGTGATATGAAGGAAGACTGTACTATGAGGGTATTTGTGTTTTGTAGACAAATGAGAGTGATATGAAGGAAGACTGTACTGTGAGGGTATTTGTGTTTTGTAGACAAACGAGAGTGATATGAAGGAAGACTGTACTATGAGGGTATTTGTGTTTTGTAGACAAATGAGAGTGATATGAAGGAAGACTGTACTGTGAGGGTATTTGTGTTTTGTAGACAAACGAGAGTGATATGAAGGAAGACTGCACTGTGAGGGTATTTGTGTTTTGTAGACAAATGAGAGTGATATGAAGGAAGACTGCACTATGAGGGTATTTGTGTTTTGTAGACAAATGAGAGTGATATGAAGGAAGACTGTACTGTGAGGGTATTTGAAGCATCGTACGGTGACCAGTCCCACCAAGTTACACAGTACCACTACACGGGTTGGCCCGACCACGGCATCCCCGAGGACCGTAATGTTATCCTAGCCATGGTCGCCAAGATGAGAGACATTCGCCACAAGGATGCAGAAAAAGCCCCAATATTGGTCCACTGCAGGTAACTTGAGGGATTACCGGGTGAATTTTGTGAATTTTACATGACAGTGAACATCTTTATTGAGGATGAGGAAGAGTACAGATCTTACGATCTTGAATACTTGAAACCACAAATAACTTTTTTAGGTACCAGGTAGTATTTCATATCGATATGAATATAAGAAGATTTCCTGTTATCATAATACATATAAAGTTCGCTTTAAACCTCAGAATCCTACTCTGGAGAAAAGGGTCAATGTATGTTGTTTCATATACCATAAATACATGTTTTCACAGTGCTGGTTGTGGACGAACTGGAACAGTTTGTGCTATTGACTATGCCTGGGAGCTTCTAAGGGGTGGGGTAAGTATTCTGAAGACGGGAACAATTTGTATTATTAACTGTTAGGGAGATTCTAAGGGGCAGGGTAAGCAATCTGAAGATAGGGGAACAATTTGTACTTTTGACTTCGAGAGATTCTTAAGGGCGGGGTAAGTAATCTAAGGAAGGAAACAATTTGCACTGTTGCCTTGACTTCGAGACTCTCATGGGTGGGGTAAATAATCTGAAAGGGAAACAATTGTAATGTTGACTGGAGTAGGCAACTTTCAAAAATCCAGGATATGTCAGTAAATGTGTGCAAGTCCTAAGAGGTCAGAAGTTCAGAACCTTAATATAGATATACAGGCTAGAGGCAAAAGGTCACGAGATCCTATTACAGAATGTTTTTTACAAGACATGATTTATTGGGTTCAATGGAATGGAACATTTTGTGAATTTGTTAACTGTTGACAAAATCAGAATACAAGAGAACAATTTTTTTTCTCAGAAACTGACTGCAGACTTTGAGTTGAAGCAGATTGTGGAGGCGATGAGAGAACAGCGTCAGTCCATGATACAAACACCGGTTTGTACATTGCTATTCAAGTTTTAGTGGTAATGTAATTGAGAAAATTTTAACATGCAATATTCTTTTATTTTAACATGCAATATTCTTTTTTATCACATACTGAACTGTATTATCTAGTGAATGTACCCATGTCATATTTGTTTGCGTATTAACCAATGTAATATGACCTATCAGCCCTGTGATTGGTTGTAACTTTCAATTGTTTCAATTGTGACGTCGCCCATATCACAAGTACATCACGTCACACACTTATGCACTGGAGTCAAAATGGCGGCTTTTTACATTTCAAGGTTACATGAAAATTGCCATTTTACACGAATAAATGCCACAAATCTTGATTATGTGATAAAATCAATCTTACGCTTGTTTTCATTTCATTTGGAATTTATGAAAAAATAATTCATTTTAGCTCGCCTCAAATTGAAAAAAATCTTGGACCCCTTTCATAAATCTCATATGACATAAAAACTTGTGCAAGATCCTATATATTTTAAGTTTAATATCACCATATGTATTAATGTGTTAACGAAAGGCCTAGGGTGATGATATTTGGCCAGAAGCAAACTGGGATGAAGTTAATGACCTTCACCCATTTTCAAGGTCACAGGGGTCAAATATGTGAAAAACACTCAACAACGTCTTCTGAATAACCAAACTGCCCAGGGAGATGATATTTGGCCAGTAGCATGCTAGTGTTAATGGCTATCAAGTTTGTTCAAATGAATGACCTTCAATTATATTCAAGGTCACAGGGGTCAAATATGTGAAAAACATTAAACAACTTCTTCTGAATAACCAAAATGCACAGGGTGATGATATTTGGCCAGTAGCATGCTAAGATGAAGGGCTACAATGTTTGTTCAAATGAATGACCTTCATCCATATTCAAGGTCATTGGGGTCAATATGTTAAAAACTTTAAACAACTTCTTCTGAATAACCAAAATGCCCAGGGTGATGATATTTAGTCTGAGTAGCATACTAGGATCAAGGGCTACCATGTTTGTTAAAATGAATGACCTTGAATCATATTCAAGGTCACAAGGAGCAAATATGTTCAAAATATTTAAACAACTTGTTTTGAATAACCAAAATGCTCAGGATGTTGATATTTAGTCAAAAGCATGCTGGGATCAAGGACTACTATGTTTGTTAAAGTGAATGACTTTGATTTATATTCAAGGTCACAGGGGTCAAATTTGTTTAAAATCTTTAAACAACCTCTTCTGAATAACCATTGGTCCCAGGATGTTGATACTTTGCAAGTTGCATCCTGAGATGAAAGGTAAAAAAAAATGTTCAACATGACTTTGTCGACTTTCAATCCCAGGGGTGAAATGTTTTAAAAAAAATTAACAGGTTCTTTTGAATGGATTTTAATCATAAATACTGATATTTGGCCCGTAGCTTTATTTTAGATCACTTTTAATGTTACAAGTGTGAGATTTATACCAGGTGAGCGATGCAGGCCCATCGGGCCTTTTGTTGTGTTGTTGTTTACCTTATCTTTCTAAATAGGTGTTTTCTCTGTTAACAGGACCAGTATGAAATGGCACACCTAGCTGTTAGAGACTTGTTCCAGAAACACCTTGAAATCATGGAGGAAAACATCTACATGAATTATGGGGATGACATTGAAGAGGTAACATTCCTCAAGAATTCCCTCTTCCATCCACGTTCTACCTTCTGCCGTATTCTATTTGTTCTGAGTGGTCTTCGCTCTAACATTTCTTTCCGCTTAATTCCAAATACAGTTTGTACTTTGAGCTAGCCTTAACCACTATTTACAATCCCTGTCCCCTGTGTCTCTAGCTCGATTATCCCCAAACCCATCTGTTATCTATGTCCCCTGTGTCTATAGTTCCATTATCCCCGAACCCATCTGTTCTCCATGTCCCCTGTGTCTCTAGTTCCATTATCCCCGAACCCCTCTGTTCTCTATGTCCCCTGTGTCTCTAGTTCCATTATCCCCGAACCCATCTGTTCTCTATGTCCCCTGTGTGTTAAGTTCCATTATCCCCAAACCCATCTGTTCTCAATGTCCCCAGTGTCTCTAGTTCCATTATCCCCGAATCGAACCCATCTGTTCTCTATGTCCCCTGTGTGTAAAGTTCCATTATCCCCGAACCCCTCTGTTCTTTTTGTGCCCTGTGTCTCTAGCTCCATTATCCCCGAACCCATGTGTTCTCTATGTCCCCTGTGTCTCTAGCTCCATTATCCCCGAACCCATCTGTTCTCTATGTCCCCTATGTCCCTAGTTCCATTATCCCCGAACCCATCTGTTCTCTATGTCCCTTGTGTGTTAAGTTCCATTATCCCCGAACCCATCTGTTCTCTTTGTCCCCTGTGTCTCTAGTTCCATTATCCCCAAACCCATCTGTTCTCTATGTCCCCTGTGTCTCTAGCTCCATTATCCCCGAACCCATCTGTTCTCTATATCCCTTGTGTCTCTAGTTCCGTTATCCCCGAACCCATCTGTTCTCTATGTCCCTTGTGTCTCTAGTTCCATTATCCCCGAACCCATCTGTTCTCTATGTCCCCATGTCTCTAGCTCCATTATCCCTGAACCCATCTGTTCTCTATATCCCTTGTGTCTCTAGTTCCATTATCCCCGAACCCATCTGTTCTCTATGTCCCTTGTGTCTCTAGTTCCATTATCCACGAACCCATCTGTTCTCTATGTCCCC